CATCCGATGCCACTTGCGCGCATTATAATGGAAAAAAATAAATCAATCAATAGTTGGCACATGGAAGTTGACAGAAGAATACAAAAACCAGGCATGTGTCATGGAGTCATGGCATGGGTAAGAGACTTGCCTTCAGCCAAGCAACAGCTTTGAAACTGGATGATTATTACCCCAAATTTCCCAATTGGCTGCCTACTTAATTCTATCCCACCAGTGGCAATGAGTAGCCCTTCCCTTGTCTCCATGTGGATTGCACTGTTACCAGGCTCCACTTGTTGACGTTATTGTTGAAAAACTCGGCCCCAAGTGCCGCTACATGATGCATCAATGTCGAGAGAAGAATCAATATCGTAAGTTATATGATAAAAATCTGCATATATATTGGATCCTTGACACATTTTTTTCGCAAGGAGGTTAATTATCAGCAAAGAAATTCTCAAGTTAATTATTCGTAGATTTGACCCCTCATCTCTGCCTTAATTCTCTAAAGAAGGGTTGCTTTCTGATCTCAATTTGTCCTACTAGCTAGGACACTTGCATGCATGTTGTGAAGCCAACAAGGGCACAGCTAATCTTTGATGCTAGCATAAAAAAATTGGTTCATGTCACATAAGCATGACATAGCTTGGGCATCAACTTGAAGCTTCCATCTCATCATTGTTGGCGCTTACTGATTTAATTAATTAATCGAGGACACGTTATTTCTGTCATGTCAATGTGCTTGTGTGAGCGATCTGTTCTACATGGAGGACCCAACTACCCTATGGTCTCTACTTTCCAAACTCTTGGTGACCTAAACAATATATTTTATCAAGATCAACTAATTAAGCTAGATATAGGTTAGCTAGCTCCTGAAAGATCACCATGGAGTAACTGACTGATAGGTACACTTTTTGATACTATCATATTCATGACTACTACCGACTATTTTGCAGTATGATTATCATCAAAACCACTTGACTCTATTGTGTACACGTATTGTTGCTAACTTCTATTTGTGACCATGTGCATTTTCCAAGAAAATGAGGCAGCTTGCAAAGCTGCAGTTGCTGCATCTGAACAAGCTATCAGCCGTCCTAACTTTGTGTACCTAATACCTTACTCCTGCAGACTGCAGGTATATAATATAGATAGATATGTAGGTAGTTAGATACTTGGTGAAGTCACAGACATACAAAACTGAAACAGAGTGATATGGTCAACTTAAAGGATGAATCTGCATTTAATTGAACATGGTAACCGTACAATTGGTACATTAGGTCTACAGGTCAAATTGTTGCTGATTGTACACACAGCTAATCACCATGATCACCTCACTCAAGATATTATGAGTTGAGGTTCCTTTATAAGGAAAGAAGAGTTGACTTCTGAATTATGATCCATACACAGGCTGACAGGCATGAATGCGTACTACCACAGGGCCAATTTTGTATGTCTCATTGTAACAACTTGCAAGTTATTTTCCCTTCTTCCAAGTCAAACAAGTATATACGCACATGTGACGATAAGAAAAGTGAGAGACCAAGACATAATCAATCGGCTATAAGTATGAAATAATAATGGTTGTAAATAAAAGTCTAGACAAAAAGATCGAACTAACGACTGTATTGAATTTGTAATGCCACTTGTTACCTAGGAAAATAGAAGTTACCCAAAATTTCTTTAGGAGAAATAGAAGAGGAAGCAAACTTGAAAAGACCCATCACACGCGCATACTGTTTGGCAGAAGCCATGAATTTTTTAAAATCAAGGAACCACCTACTCCTTGAATTGCTGCAAATTTCAATCTCTGAGCCACCTAACTAGCAGTGTGTAAAATCTGGTCCGTATGTGTGCACAAATTCAAACACCAAGCTTGAACGGCACTTCAGCTCCCAAATGAAAAATTAGGGAAGTTGATTAAGCTTAGATTAATAAATAAAACAATGCACTTTCTCAAGCCGGGTAAATGCAAGATGCAATTACTGAGAATTTTAACGTCGGCTCTGTTGCAATTTGCAAATGGACGGCGAGAGCCATGAACTGTTGCATACGGGGGCAAGTAAGCAATTGAAAAATGAAGGTTTCAGCGCATCGGGATCTAAAAAGAATTAATGGTGGCACTAAATCCATGATAACTGTACCGGTAAGAGAGAGAGCACCAACGGGATCAGGTAGCCAGAGCTGAACTATACTACTCACGCGGTATTCTAGGCAAATGGTGCACCTAATTAACCTTGGATCACAGCACTGTGCCTTTTCTTAGTCCCCATGATGAGATTAGCCATGATTAAGGTCAATGGTCTTGCATCTGATTACTGTGTTGATATGTTGATTTCCCAAAGAATTCCATGCAAGTAGTCCACTACTGAACGTGCATGCCCTGTGGGTTGTGGTATAGGGAAACCTTGGATCTAGGGAGATATATCTAGTCGTAGTCCAACCTTTGCTTGCAGGTCCAGCCCAGTTCTTGATGATAGATCTCGCTTCGCTAGCCAGCGAGAAATCATTAGTTTTATTAAACTTTATTTTATGATTTCCGTTCGAAAAAAGAATTTCTGTGAATAAATTCGTTTTCTTACCATACTGACTCCAATACATTTTCCTGTAGACATATACTGTACTTACATAACTACAGTATACTGACAAGTACGCCGCCAAATTAAATGGACTTCTTTCTGGCAGGAAATTCTGACTTAGACTGGGAGACACATGGGGCCGGCCGTCTTGCCCTCCCTCTCACCAAATCTCATTACATGGATCAAAGACATATATGTATGAGCGAATATGACTGAACTTCCTCTGACGAGTGGCCCTACGCAGGACTGAAATTTAGTCTGAAAGCGATTCCTTGCTTGACGACAGAGTCTCTCCAGCCATAATAATGGGCCGAGCCGATGACGCCGACGATGAGGACTGGCAGGAAGCTTCATCAACGTCGTCGGAGGGACGCGCTCGACGACGTATGTAACACACAGTCTGGACGCGCATCTTAGTTATAAGTTATAACTGGCCTCACAACAGCAGCATGTTGCGCACGTTGAAGCCTATTCCACACACGTAATATAAATCTCAGTCTCCTCTGCCGATATATGTACTGTATTTTTCTGGCTTTCTGCGAGTCTTCACCAAAGAGTGCGGCTGTGGTTTGACATTTCTGATGACGTTGACCGCCTAATCGATCAGCGTAGGTAAGCACCGGCGTACGGCGTTTGTTTAAGCCAGAAATATAGCTCGTCCAAACAGGAGAGGGCCGGGGAAGATAGAGAGAAGGTCGAGGCCATGGTCTAGGCGTCTAGCTAGTAGCCTCTCTATATATATACAAGGCCATGGCAGGGCTGGTGCAGGGCTAGAGAAGAAAGGGTTGGAAGGCTAGAGAAGCTAGAGAGAGGAGAAGGACGTTTGCCTTGGACCAACGAGAGATAAGCTTGTCTTCTGTGGAAGGAGATCGAAATGATCAAGGGAGACCAGAGGCAGCTTGGCGGCCATGAAGATCGGCTGAAAGATCAGGTTTGGAACTGTTTAATTACTTCTCTTGATTTTGTATTTGTGCTTTTATATGCTCCAAAGAGTTTGATTTTTCTTTTCTTAATGAGTGTTCATTTATTTGGATAAGTATCCTTTGGACTAGTGGTTAGGACTTGGCTGAGTTTCTCTCTTCTCTGGGATGTGGTTCTTGATCCATGAATGGAAGTCAGGGACTTCTCTTTCTGATTGATGTCAAAATCAATCAGGTGATCATCTTTAGGGACCACAGATCCTGCCATCCTGGTGCTCGTAGAACAGTCAAATTAAACATGTGGATAAGCCAAGAAATGGATTTTTCCGCAGCTTGTCCTCCAATAAATTCATGATGTTACGAATTGTTTGCTCATGTTATAATAATATAGACTTTCATGTTGGTGTTGCAGATGGGAGATGATCATCGGGCCTCGGATGGCAAGTTTTTCAGGTTCTTGCAAAACCAGTCAAGCGCAAAAAAGGAGGTACATAATTATCAAACACGTTCAACAAACATATAAAAGGCACAACTTTTCGTAATTAGTTACATAAGGCAGGGTCTGGTACTACGTATCCCCCTTTTATTCTTTTTTATTTCAGAAGGGCAGTAAAAATTATTAATTACCCTGAAACTCCTCAACTAATTCATGAAAAAAGAACCTACACCTATCAGCTATTTATATTTTCCTATTGTATTGCTCATCTTCCTACTTGCAAATGTAGTTAGTGCCAACTGCCAAGTAATACATACACACTAAGCCAAGTAGCCAAGTAGCCAATTAGCCATTATCATATGTGATTTACTTCATCAATGAGTATGTAACTAATAACAGGTTTCGCTTTCATCCATTCAGGCTCAAGAAGACAAGATTGCGTCCACAAGGGCAGAGATGGGCGAAGTGAGAAAAGAGAACGAGAGGCTGAAGACGATGTTGTCACGGATGGTGGAGGACCATCGATCCCTTCAGAAGCAGTTCGATGTTCTCCACCAGCAAGGACGAGGCAAAAACCTCGCCGTGGGCTCACCGGAGCACACATCGTCCGCCGACGGCGTCAAGGACCCCAGATTCGTCTCTTTACGCCTCGGAACGAGCGCGAGCACGAGTAGGCAGGACATGGGAGAAGAGATCCGGACCGGCACTAATAATGCAGACGGCAAGTGCATCTCTCTTGGACTTTCATCGGGCAAAGCTATTGGTGTAGCTGGTCAAAGTGAGATGAAGGTGCAGCCAGATGTGCTGACGTTGAGCCCTGGAGGCAGCTCCGAGGATGACGCCGCCACAGAGACAACAACAACATCGAGCAAAGTACCGAAGAACCCGAGGAGCACCGGTGGTGGCGCGGAGGCCGAGGAGGAGGTGGCCCAGCAGCCCCTGGCCAAGAAGGCCAGGGTGTCGGTGAGGGCTAGGTGTGACACACCAACGGTACGTACATATACGTAAACAACGTACACAAGTGACTAGAAAATTAAATGACTGGGATACCTGTATATGTGTGATTCGTGGTTTGTTGGTGTTCAGATGAACGATGGGTGCCAGTGGAGGAAATACGGGCAGAAGATATCCAAGGGGAACCCATGTCCACGCGCCTACTACCGCTGCACCATCGCAACAGGGTGCCCTGTCAGAAAACAGGTATGTTATTCACTGTCATACATTGCAAAACAACCCAAACACATGGTACCAAAGAATCTGCGGCAAGGTGTGTTTCGCAGACCAAACATGACCAAGATACATGTGTTGCTTCAGAACATCGCAATGCGACTTACTTAGCATTCCCTCTATTTGTAATTCTCGCACACTACTTGAGCGTTCAAGAAAAGTCGAGCTTATACCTGCAAGATGTTGGTGCATCATACAACTCCTATTAGAGATTCGATAACAAGTACTTCCTCCGTCCCAAAATAAGTGTCCCAACATCAATAATATTCAGTGTCACTCATTTTGTTTCGTATATAGTCTACAGTAAAATCCCTAAAAAGTCTTATATTTAGGAACGGAGGGAGTACAACTTTGTGTACATACATGGTCCCAAATCCGGGGTCAAAACTCCATAAATCAAGCGATCGAGCACTAGCGCCACCAGGGAGGGAACTAGCGGATCGAATCGGGCGGGCACTGGGGGTCGGACTCGGAGATCGGAACCTGACCTGATCGCCAGGGCCGGAGCCGTGCAGGGAGGTGTGCACCTCTCCTGCCTTGGCAACGGTGTCGCCGTCGGGCTCTCTGCCTCTCTCTGGCGGCGATGGGAGCGCGACTTCTCGATCGGCGGCGGCAACGTCAACGTTGCTGTTGGGGTTTAGGCTGATCGCATCGAAACAAACTACTCCCTCCGTTTGGAAATACTTGTCATAGAAATGGATACAAATAGATGTATCTAAAACTAAAATACATGTAGATACATCCATTCTTTGGACAAGTATTTCCGGACAGAGGGAGTAATTCCACATGGCCGATGGGGCTTCAGAAATGCTGGAGAGTATGATGGGCTTTGGGTTGGGCCAGCGTCGCCACATGTGTGCTGTCTGCCCACTTGATCAACCAAGTCCACTCAAAAATACAAAGACCCTAAAAATATCTTCTTATTCTTTTACCTTATACTATAAAACCTACTGCAAACATTACATGTCTTTCCAAAATGTCTAATGATCCACCATATGTCTTCTCGATTCATATTCGAGTATTTAACAAATACTACCTCCGTCCTGGTTTATTAGTCTTTTTTGTAATTTGTGCTAAATTTTGACCAAAGATTTAACTGACAAAAATGTCAATGCATGTCATCAAAAATTGACATGCGTGAACATTTTGTTAGTTAAATTTATGGTCAAAATACGGCACAGATTATAATGGAGACCAATAAATCAGGACGAAGGTAGTATATGATGTGCATTTAGGGCTCTCATATGACCGATGCACCTAATGCCAAAAATACATCCATGCTCAAAGTTCTCAAAAACATCTGAAATTGCCACTAACTAATAACAAAATTTTAGATATACCTTCACATTGAAAAATAATAAATATACAAAATTCAAATGTGGAAATTGGTACACCAGTTGCACAAGAACTTCATGTGCAAATGCGTGTGTACATATGTTCGCTCGGTGTAAAAGAAAAGACAATCTTCTCTTTGGTAATAGCAGTAGCGGGGATTTGCACTTGAGCGGACTAATCAAAAATGCTTTAAAACTCGCGCTCGGCTTTCTTTTCAATGGCAGCATCCTTCCTCGCCATGGTGACCGACTGACATGAACGTACATTATGTTTCCCAGGTGCAGAGATGTGCCGAGGACATGTCGATCCTCATCACCACCTACGAGGGCGCGCACAACCACCCGCTCTCCCCCTCCGCAGCCGCCATGGCCTCCACCACCTCCGCGGCCGCGTCCATGCTCATGTCAGGCTCCTCCACCTCGCTCGGCTTCCCCTCCGTCGCCTCCAGCCTCCACGGCCTCAGGTTCGGCCTCCCAGCGGCGACTACCTTCGACCCCTCGAGCCATCTGAGTGGTCGGCCGTTCTTCCTCCCGGCCGCCGCCGGCGCGTCCATCAGCGCCACCCCGTCGTACCCCACCATCACCCTCGATCTCACCTCGCAGACTGCCTCGCAGCAGGCCTTCTCCCTCAGCAACACCAACAGATTCTCCTCCAGCTTCCCCGACTCTCACGGACACAGCAGCAGTGCTGGTAGGTACCCTTCCACGAACTTCTCCTTCTCCGGCTCTGGTGCGAGCAGCCTGCCCGGCGCCACCGCGTGGCCGGCCGGCGTTGGATCGTACCTGAGCTACGGACCCTCGTCCGGCGCGCCCTACAACGGTGTCGGCAAGAACTCATTCCAGGCCGCGCTGAGCGGCATCAACGGAAGGCAGCAAGCCTCGGTGGCGTCCCTCTACCAGCCGGCGCAGGTGCAGCAGAGGGCGGCCCAGTTTAGCGGCGGCGGAACATGCACGACAGCGCCGATCGTGCTCACCGACACGATCGCCAAGGCGATCACGTCGGACCCGGGCTTCCACACAGCGCTCGCGGCCGCCATCACGTCGTACGTCGGCAAGCCGGCTGCCGGAGGCGGCAAGGGGCTCGAGTGGGGGGAGCACCTCGGGCTGGGCCCGTCGAGTGCGGCGTCCACCGCTTGTTCGTCGCCGTTGCTGGCACGGTCGTCGACGGGGGCGACACAGAGCGGTTCTCCGAACGGGAAGAAGATGTCGTTCTTGCAGCCGTCGCTGGCACTGTCATCGGGCTCCGCTAGTGCTACTGCTTCCACCTCACCTGTGAAAAGCAGGGAGCACATTAATTAGTTAGCTGAAGGTTCTGAGTTGTGTTTGTGGACTAATTTGATCATTTGGTGTACATACATATATAGTGACTGTAGCATAATTGCTGAAAATGTGTCGATTGATCCCCATTTTAGGCGGAGCTTGCTTTGGGACTGTGGATACACGACCTTTTTGAGGACAATGTCGCCTTGGAGAATACTCGCTCTTTAACTCGGAGTCGTAGAAGCTAGTGTTGTCTTGCTTGCTCAAACGTGCTTGAGGAGTGACGTGTCTCGTATTCAGATCTCCGTTACTTCCAGAAGAGAATATCTATGTACACTAGCTTTGATCCAGTTACAAAACTGCGAATTTCATAGTCATATGATGCGTGTGCAGTATGCAGACACAGTTGTAACCTTTGCTAACGACCAAGTGCATGCATGCAAACCATTGTTCTGAACTTCTCTGCTTTCTGAACAGCAGTAGCGTGTAGTCCCTGCCCACGCAATGAAGTTGCCCAAGAACCACCATATCCACCGTGCGCCTGAACCAAATCCTCTTTGGCGGTGCTTACGATGGCTTCAAATGTGGAGAGAACCGCCTGGGATTTTCACTTGGAGATGACTCTCATAAACCGGCTCACTGAGCTAAACGCGGCCATGACATTGGTCATCATTGAAGGCTCCTCTTCAGGTTGCTCACTGGCGCCGCCACCACCAAATATTATCTGCAGATTAGAATGGTGTCACTAATCTCTGCAAAATGCAAAAAAATTATGGGCAACACTAGCATTTGGTGTAGATATTTGCAAATGGATTTCTAAAATGATGTTCTCTAACTTGTACTATTAAAAATAATGGCTGGTCGTCTAGCTAGTAGGCCCAGGGTGACTTCTTGTTCTCTGTCTTGTATAGAGTGTCAGTTGTTTGACAGCTTAATGTGTCTGTGGTCAGTCACACAATGTCACAATGACTCCTAGAGTTTGAGAAATCAGTTGGCTCTTGGGTGCTTGCAGCTTCTATACACGGTCCAATATCAGACTCGTTTTTTCGACAGTAGTGATTCAACTTACCAAGTACTAAAAGGAACACACACGCAGCATAGTGATGGACAAAAATCTAATCATGCAGATCAAATCAGATATGCAATGTCTAACCTCAATATCTGTTGCATCAGGACGACTCGAAGATTCTCTGGCGAGCAAATACCGATTGGGTCTTTTTGGATCATCATAGAACACTTTCCACTTTCTGAAACATGAATAACAGATATCTTTAGCCTATTATTTTACTGAACATTTATTTGGATTGTAGAAAAAGGCAACAAATATCGACGCACTCAGGATAGCATCTGAAGATTGCACCGGTAGGCAGCGGCCTCATCGAGTAAACAGTGGTAAAAGTACTGCAAAATGGGTGATGGATGTTAGAAAAAGACACAGGGAAATACAGTGGGCAAAAGAGACCATAAATATTTTAATAACATGAAATTTGTAAAGATGACCATCATTTATAGGTATATTATAGTTGACCATACTTCAGAGCTTTTCGGTATGGTTTCATAAAGATGCATCACTAATTCACTATTCATAACTCTTTGACGGGATCTGTTTCTGTAACTTGGTACTTATTTATGTTGAGGCAACTAGAAACAGTTACATATAGTGGTAGAGAAGATGTTTCTCAGTCCATATTCTCATATTTTTCAAGACACATCCATACTCTGATATCCACAATCAACAACTGTTTATGTCCCGGAAAATACCGATAGTACACATAGAGAGGCAACAATGTCAGATGTTTCCGTTCACTTACCTTAAGAAATTTCTGCGTAGATTCCGAACATTATATCCCACTCCAACATCTCCACTAACAAGACGTGGGTTCCACATGACAAGAGGTCTTATCTTCAGTGGATTAAAACTGGAAGTTATTTTAAGATACCATATTGAGTGGAACATACATACAAATGATAATTGTGATATGCAGACTGTTGAACAAATTATACAAGATGTGAACATAGATGGATGTGCTTGCGCAAATGAAAAATGCCATGCGATGGCTATGCTAAGCTGATGTGCAAATGAATATAGATCCTACAAATATACATGCATGCCAAAATGACCTGTAAATACACATGCTGATCCTATCCTACCAATTTTGCTTGGGACACAAAAGATGGAATTCATTTTCCTTACTATAAACTAAAGCACATGTATCTGCGAACATTAAAAACTTGATCAGGCATAAGTTACATACGGGATCATCAGCGAGTTGAGATGCGATGCGTTCAACAGATTCAAGCATCTGGTGATCAGGGATAATCATAACAACAACTCCGTCATCAGTATCAACTGGCTTTCGGTCACTAAGACTGCAAATCAAAATAAGAGAATAGACAGATTTTAGATTGACAAGAAATCTCATGGTAATCATCTTTTATGCCTTCAAGACAGAAGCAACTAATAACATCTACTACTTCTCTAAAGAAACTCAAATTGGTCCACATCTTGTCCTATTCTGCGAACCTGTCTAGAAAAATATGATATCCACGCCACGAATCATTTGGGGAGAATTTACTAGAAAGATCTTAGCAACAAAATTAATGCGCTTCACTAAAAATAGTGCTAGCAGCATGTAACATGAATAGAAAAATGGACCATTACATATAACATGTGCACAAAATTTGAATAAGGAATCCATCCACCACTGTGGCTGGGCTACTGAAAGCAAGGCAATACCTAGCACACTTGAACTTTGCATCTTTCCACTGATGCTTCAGAAGGGCAGCCACTCCAGCGTCAGGGAAGACGGCCTTAACTACCTGTTGTAGACAGACAGCAAGTTGAATGTAAAGAACAGATATTCAAGGTACTTAAAGGACACGATTCACTATGGATGGAGGCCTTTAATCAAGGACATTTAAAACAGAGCTCAAAATGGGAGATAACTGGCCATTTATTATCTGTGTGGATGATAAAATCAGTGAGCTAGGGTCATGCAACTGCAGATGGATCAGACAGAGCAAAAGCTGCATTTATTCATCGCTAAATGACCTTGCATCCAAACCTGGCCAGTCTCTTCCGCGAGTGTGTCGAGGAGTATCCTCGACAGCGCCCAGACCTCGGCCTGCGCTCCTTCCTGGTTGAGGAACTCCAGCTGGGGGATCAGCAGCTCTGCCTACAGCAATGATGATAACACAAGAACAGATCATCAACAGTGAGATCGCGATGCGAGATGGCAAAACTGTATGAGCGACACAAGAATATAATGGTGGATGGGACTTGAACACTGAAACTGTTCCATGGCATTCCAAGTAAAAAATGCAGAAATTTCACAGCAGGTTAAGGTTGAGCCAAAATCAGTGTATATGGACAATCGGAAACCTACAATTCCTCGCATGCCGCCGGAGTTGACGAAATCAGCGCTGGCCTTCCCCGACTGCTATATCGCGCCTTGCAAATCCGACGGCAAGCAACTGAAACCACAGAGACAGCACACGCGGTCAGTCAGACGCGCCACAATCCAAAGCAACACGGCGGCGTTTCCCGCGTGCCTGACCTGTCATCCTCCTGCACCGCCTGCTCCACCGCGCCATCGGCCTCCGATGTCGCCGGCTCGGCCTCCGTGGGGGCTTCCGCGGCGTCGAACTTGCCGAACTTGGCTTGGGCTGGGGAAGGCCCGCGGCGGACGCGCAGCCGCACCGGAGGGAAGGCCGCGGCGACGGGCGAAGGCGCGAGGGGCTGGCGGGGGAGAGGAGGAGGGGAGGGGCGCGCGTACTGCCGCGAGAGCAGCGCCGGCGAGGTCGCCATTGCTTCGTGCGGCGTAGGGGAAAAGCAGTACGTGGCCGAGCTGTGACTGGCTGCTCCTCCGTGCTGCTTGGATAACGGTGGGTTTGCTTCGGAAACGGGATCGCCGTCCGATGGAGAACTCAACGCTCCAGATTGCTTGGAATGATTTAGTTGCGTTTAGACTTTGGGGCCTCGCGAGTTAGTCGACTTAACCAAGTCTCAATCAAGTGGCCCGCTATTGCCCTTCGACCTCCGTCGACTTGAGCTCCCCACCATCGGCTAAACCGTCATCCCGTCTGTAACGTCCTCGATGCGGCTATATCTCCTACGTGTCGAAGTATGACTTAAAGGCATAACCACATTGAAAGCAACGTCGCAAATGAGGTAATCTTCACAACAACCCATATAAATAAATAAAGGGAAAAAGTACATAGTTGGCTTACACTCGCCACGTCACACAAATACATAAATAAGTCATTACATTCATCCAATACACTCAGGGTCCGACTACAGAACCAAAATAAAGATAAACCCCAAATGCGACAAAGTCCCCGATCACCCCAACTGGGCACCACTACTGATCATCTGGGAAATACACATAGTAACGATAAGAGTCTTCATCGAACTCCCACTTGAGCTTGGTCATATCATCTGGAGCGGAATCATCGGTCCCTGCATCTGGTTTCGGAAGTAATTTGTGAGTCACGGGGACTCAGCAATCTCACACCCTCGCGATCAAGGCTATTTAAGCTTATAGGTAAGTCAAAGGTACGATGTGGAGCTGCAACAAGCGACTATCATATATGATGGCTAACATACGCAAATGAGAGCGAGAAGAGAAGGCAAAAGCACGGTCGAACAACTATGATCAAAAAGTGATCCTAGAACAACCTACGTCAAGCATTACTCCAACACCGTGTTCACTTCTCGGACTCCGCCGAGAAGAGACAGTTACACACGCGGTTGATGCATTTTAATTAAGTTAAGTTTCATGTTATCTATAACCGAACATTAACAAATTCCCATCTGCCCATAACCGCGGACACGGTTTTCGAAAGTTCAAATCCCTGCAGGGGAGTCCCAACTTAGCCCATCACAAGATCTCACGGTCAACGAAGGATATTCCTTCTCCCGAGACATTCCGATCAGACTCGGCATCCCGGTTAGAAGACATCCTCGACAATGGTAAAACAAGTCCAGCAATACCGCCTGAATGTGCCGAAAATCCCGATAGGAGCTGCACATATCTCGTTCTCAGGGAACACTCAGATGAGACTAGCTACGAGTAAAACCAACCCTCAAGTTTCCCCGAGGTGGCCCCGCAGGCAGCTCAGTTCGGACCAACACTCAGAAGAGCATTGGCCCGGGGGGTTTAATAAAGATGACCCTTGGGCTCCGGAAACCCAAGGGAAAAAGAGGCTAGGTGGCAAATGGTAAAACCAAGGTTGGGCATTGCTGAAGGAGTTTTATTCAAGGCAAACTGTCAAGGGGTTCCCATTATAACCCAACCGTGTAAGGAACGCAAAATCCGGGAACATAACACCGATATGACGGAAACTAGGGCGGCAAGAGTGGAACAAAACACTAGGCATAAGGTCGAGACTTCCATCCTTTACCAAGTATATAGGTGCATTAAGATAAACAAGATAATATGGTGATATCCCAACAATAAACATGTTCCAACAAGGAACGATCTCCAATCTTCACCTGCAACTAGCAACGCTATAAGAGGGGCTGAGCAAGGCGGTAACATAACCAACCAACGGTTTGCTAGGACATGGTGGGTTAGAGGTTTGACATGGCAATGTGGGAGGCATGATAAGCAAGTGATAGGTATCGTAGCATAGGCATAGCAAAAGAGCGAGCATCTAGCAAGCAAAGATAGAAGTGATTTCGAGGGTATGGTCATCTTGCCTGCAAAATTCTCGGAGTTGCCTTGATCCTCGTAAGCGAACTCAACGGGCTCCTCGTTCACGAACTCGTCTCCCGGCTCTACCCAAACAAGAACAACAAGCAAAAGGAACACAATCAACCACGTGCAATACTCAACCAACATGATGCAAACATAGTATGATATGCGGGATGCGATATATGATGTATATGCATGATTTGGAAAGGAATGATTGAACCTGGACTCAACTTGGAAATCCAAGAGTGCCACTGGAAAGGTGGGGTGATTTCGGTTGAAATCGATATAAAGATCACCGGAATCAGATGCACGGTTTGGAAATGGCAAGCAAAACAAATATGGCACCGATCTGCGATAAACAGCAAGTAGCCTTTTAAATGCAACAAGAACAACATGCTACTGCACCCAAACATGACAACAAAATACATGGCAGGGATCCACTCATGATGCTTGACAAAAGATGAACACTTAGCTATGGCTAATTCATCCATTAACAGGTTCAAACAAGCATGGCGAAAGTGCAAATGATTACAGGTTTCAGACTTGGTGAAATTAACAGCATATCAGGAATTTATCATCAGGAATCAATGTTTAGAGCATGATAACTATATGCTACAGGAACATATCATGGCAAAGCAAGGCATGGCATGAAGCTACTCTAAGCATATAACAAAAGTCTCTTAGTGACCATAAGGCAAAAGGGATCAGAAAATACAATTACAAGCATGTGAACATAGCAAAAACATAAACAGATTCAGACTTAGTGAAAAACTGGAGCATGCAAAACAGATTAACAAGTAGGCATGTTTACGAGCTCGATGCACTCACTACGAGGCATTGCGTGACAAACTAAGCATACACCCATCAAGAAGACATGGCATAGAAGCTACACATGGCAAGAACAACAACATAGCATGCACGGATCAATATCAACAACCTCGGCAAAATCGCTAAACATGTTAACAATCTGCCAGGAACATTTTATAGCAAAAGTAGAGCTCGATTGACTCAAGCTAGGGTGCTCCATAATTGCAAACGAAGACATGGATGGATAGAGCACCACAATATTAACAAAACATCCTTACTGATCATCCTCAAAAGAGGCACGGATCACTAGGAAACAACATGAACATATGGCATAAAAACAATATCAGGATAAGGACTTAGTGAAATTCTAAGTCCCTGAAATCAGCATCACCGAGTAAGCTACTTTGCATGCTTGTGCTAGTCACCACAAAGATCACAAAAATACATGGCATACACCCCTGTAAAGAGGGCATGGCATTCATCAAAACACATGTAGAGCTCAGGATCATAGCATGCACACATTAATCATGACAAAAATGACAAAAGGCCATTTGCTGAAACAGATCTGACATAATCATCACATAGCCCTCTTCCAACAGCATTTCGGGCATCAAGATGAGCTTAAATGAAAATGATGCAATGAGATGAAATGATGTACTCGTCGAGACGAACATTTTGATATGCTACACGCACGAATCAGAACTATGGATGCAGAGTTATGGCATGTGGAAGAATGCAAAATAATTAGGGTTTCGGGGCAAAAGTCAACCGAGGTGGATCTCAGATTCAGATCCAACCGGCGCGGATCCCGAGGTTCGCCGGAGTTACTGTTCGCCGGAGTTGTCGAGGGTCGCCGGATCCGAGGGAGAGGCGATGGAGCTCGCCGGACTTGGGAACGGAGACGACGGAGAGGCGGTGCCGCGGTGGTGGCCGGTGCCGGAGACGGCGGACGGCGTCGGAGCGGAGGCTCCGCTCGGGCGAGGAGGCGGCGCCCTGGGCCGCGGGGGCCGCGCACGGGCTCTCCCGGGCCGGTGGCGAGGAGATGCGGCCGGGCCAGTAGGGGCGCGCCACGTGGCGGCGGTGGTGCAAACCGGACGTGTCCGGCGGCGCGGGGAGCGGAATTTTAGGGTTTCGCCCGGATTTGGAATGTAGGGATCTTTATAAAGGGGTAGAGGGAGCTAGGAAGCTCCAAATGAGGTGCGGTTTTCGGCCACGCAATCGTGATCGAACGCTCTAGATGATGGAAGGGGTTTAGGTGGGTTTTGGGCCACTTTGGAAGGGTGTTGGGCTGCAACACACATGAGGCCTTTTCGGTCCCTCGGTTAACCATTGGAGTATCAAACGAAGTCCAAATGGCACGAAACTTGACAGGCGGTCTACCGGTAGTAAACCAAGGCCGCATGGAAAGTCTCGGTCCAATCCGGAAATGTTTAGTACCCGCACATGAAAGGAGGTAGAAAGGACCACCGGAGGACATAGGAGCGCCGGAATGCAAAACGGACAACGGGGAAAATGCTCGGATGCATGAGATGAACACGTATGCAAATGCAATGCACATGATGATATGATATGAGAGGCATGAAAAAGAACAAAACACACGGAGACAAAAAACCGGCAACGAGGAAATAAAATAACTTAGGGCCGGAAACGGCAAGAGTTGGAGCACAAATAAGGTAAATTACATTCAGGGTGTTACAACACTCCACCACTACGAAAGGATCTCGTCCCGAGATCTAGGACTGGAAAAACTCTGGGTACTCAGAACGGAGGTGATCCTTGCGTTCCCACGTGGCTTCACGGTCGGAATGACGTGACCACTTGACTTTGAGGAATTTGATTGACTTGTTGGGAGTCTTGCACTCAGTTTCTTCAAGAATAGCAACGGGGTGCTCACG